TGTGTGTGTGTGTGTGTGTGTGAGAGAGAGAGAGAGAGAGAGAGAGAGAGAGAGAGAGAGAGAGAGAGAGAGAGAGAGAGAGAGGGAGGGAGGGAGGGAGGTTGTATGAGATCTTCCAGTCCTTCGAATCTTCTTCTCTTCCATTCCCTGTGCTTTACTTCTGGCCTTAAGGACTGCAAAGCCATAGATACCTGAGGGGGCAACAGATAGATAGACACCTTTGCAAGATTGCTTCCGGTTGAGGTACTGTTTGAGAACACATCCGAAAGCCTGGGTACAGCAGAAGGGCCGCTGCTAAGGCAGTGGTGCTTTGATATTCAATTGCATTATGTTTTTGATTGGGGGAGGAGGCACCCAGCAACTCGTTCAACTTCCATTGATTGTTTTGCTTGCAAAAGAAATCGGCAGAGGATTTATTATTAGGAGAACAGGCACGATCACTCTGGAACCAAGTTCTGTTTTTCTTTTACCCCCACCAAGAGAAGAACCAAGATGAAGAACAGGAGGAACAAGCAGCAGCAACACCAGGCGGAGGAGGTGGCAAAAGAAGAAGACGATCGAGATGATGGGGTGAGAGCGGAGGGCGATGCAGGGGATGCATGGGGCCACTAGCAGGCAAGCGGCGTAGGGAGGCTTTGCATAGTTGAAAGGGGGGGCGGAGGGAAGGGGAGGGAAGGGAGGCGGAGGGAAGAAGGCAGTGAGAGGACAGAGGAATGAACGGAGCGACGGAGGAATGGAGGGAGGGAGATGGGGGTGGGGGGGGGAGGGGCATGACTCGAGGAGCATCTATGTGACGGAGAAGGAATGACAAGAAGGAGGGTAGTGAAGTGAAGGAGAGCAGAGGGAAGTGGATGGCAAGACAGCGGCAAGAGGCAGCATGGAAGGTGGCAGACATGAGCCATAGACCCTTGACGAATACTTCACCCACTCCATCGTCCCCAGCACGGATTGCGCCAATGATCCCGTGTACCCACCCACACTGCACAAGTTGCAGCAACTTCCACCTGTACAAGAATTCCGTGCTCTACAAGAAACATGGCACATCATATGGCAAGAAAAAAACGAAAAAAGAAAACTAGCAGGCATCGCATGAGAAAGACCGCAGCCTTCAAAGAAAGGAAAGGAAAGAAAAAGAAGAAAAAAGACAGAATGACACAGACAGTGACAGAGTCACAGAGAAGCGTCATGGGAGAGGAATAGCACTTTCTTTACACAGGGAGGAGCGGGTGCCGTTTTTTCCTTTTCTTCTGTTCTGCTAATCGAAGGGGAAGGCCCCTCTGGGGGGAACGAGGGGAAGAAGGGGGGTAAAGGGGCAGGTCATCTGGATGACCAACGTTTTCCCATTCTTCTTGTGAGCTGTGCCAGTATACACAACACAACATATTCGATTTTTTCCTTGTGTATGAGCAGAGGACATACATAACAAAATATTGCAAATAATTATAAACTATGCTGGAAAGAAAAACCGGAATATCACAACATGAAGTGAAGCACCGGAAAAACGACCACTCCGCCACCATCTTCTTTCTCCTCCCAAAGAGGGAAATAAGTATACTACAAAAAAAAAAAACAAGCTGATTAAAAAATAACCCCGCAACTTCCGCAAGGAGATTCAATACATCTGAAATTCCGTGAGACTTCACGGAAGCCCAAAGTTGCAACATTATCTGGACTGCGGAGAGAATGAAACACACAAAAGAAAAGCGAAAAAAAGCCGGAAAAAAAAAAGCCTGCACTGTGTAAGAAACAAGATGAAGCATGAAGTGGATGATAGATAACGTAGAGTTCAAAAAAATAATATGAAGCCTCCCCGGGGCACATGGAGGTGTCTGCTCATACCACAGCACCCCTAGCTCCCACGGCTAGTTGTTTTCCGGAGAAAAAAAATAAAAATAAAATAAAATAAAATAATAATAAGCATGCCTATGATGTTCCGTACAAGACAATAATTGGTCAATTGCTGTTTGCTTCCGGTTACAATCCTTGTATCCTTTAAAAAAAAAAAAAAAAAAAAAAAAAAAACAATCCTTATATCCTATGTGTTCCTTCTTTGTTTTTCCCTGCTCCTTTTTGTTTTCCCCCAATTTCACAACTTTTTAATAAAGTTTTTAATAAAGTTTTAATCCTCTTTGAATTTATGCAAGTATTCAGATCTGAAACGGTATTCACCAGTTCGAAGTAGCTGATGCAGATCCCAGGGCTCGATCCCTAGTTCCCCAACTTACCTGTGTACAATACCTGTGTCAACTCGAAGAATTGAACCTGCGACCTGTAGAACCGCCAGTGGTAAGTAGGTCTGTCGTAGGTCTATAGGTAGCCAGGATTCGATCTGTAGACCTGTAGATTAGAAGTCTAGCTGCAGTCCTTCTAGAAGGTTGGCAAGTGGGCAAGTGGTGCAGGCAAGTGGGCAAGTGGTGTGACTAAAGCAAGCCCATGTTGGAGACGAGGACAAGTGGCAAGGGCAAATAGTAGGACCCCAGTGCAACTGCACTGCGTCGTAGGGTAGTCGCCATGCAGTCATGGGAGAGTCTAGAAAGTACCAGTCCGGTCCAGCAAGTACCACGGGGGGGACTGTGTGCACCATGGGCCAGGGATACAGGGCAGACCAACGCAGCGCAGAAGTATAAATCAAGAGGCTGCGTCCAGCCATTCATTCATTCCTGCGTATGCCATGCGGAAGCGCTGCCTTAGCAGCTTGTGCGAGGAGGTCTGCAGTGTGCCCGAAGACGAAGTGGGCAGAGAAGTGTAGTGTAGCGATAGGTAGTGGCAGCTAGCGCTGCCATAGCTGTAGCATAGCGTGTGTGTGTGTTGCGTATGATACTGAGTGTTGCGTGTGGGACATCCAGGGTGATCCAGAGTGCGAACAGTGAGTTGTGTGGGCGCCCAGTCGCCATAGCCAGTTGAAGAGAACTCATATCTGGTTACGATATCTTAAGTACTGTCAGGGCGCATGTCGCCAGTTGCTGTATCGCTGTTTGCATGCAAGACAAGTGTGAATAATCGGAGTGTGAATGCAGATCCAAGGAAGTACTCTACTGGAATTGAAATTCATTTAATTCAATCATATCAACAAAAACTTGCCTTGTCCAGAAAAATTTAAATTCCTTTTTTGATTATGCTTCCAAAGAAGAAGTGTACTGGAATTGAAATTCAACCATATCAACAAAATTAAAAAATCCTTGCCCTTGACAGGCTTGACCGTTTTTCGGAATTTTTACAGATGCTTTTATATAACCCATATGAATGACATAGCTAAGTTTTGATCAAATGCCTTTTGTTTCTCCAAAAAAACAATACACAATGCTTCAAAGAGAGAGGGGGAAAAAAGAAAAAAAGTAAACGGAGAATAGAAGCAAGGTAACTTGCCTGCTTGCTAACCTGCACGTGTCCGTGTATGCAAGCACACAACCACACAGCACGCATGTACAGAAGAGAGAGAGAGAGAGAGAATACTTCATTATTATTATTTTTTTTTATGGGCTTTACTGCAAGTGACAACAGTAGAGTAACGGCGAACAGGCAGGGGATAGGTGAAACTCCAAAGCTTTGCATTGTGTCCGGGGGTTTGTCTTCCCCCCAACACAACGCCCCCCATCATCATGAATACATACAAGATATTTTCTGGTCCGATGAACTAACGATGGCAGTGCATTGTGTGACGGGGACGATTGTAGCCTTGCTAGTTTCGTCAATACCTAAGCAAAGCAACCTTGATGTATACACCAATGCACAGATGGAACGAAAACAGACCTGGAGCGTACATGCTCGCTTGATAGATCTACAGCACCTATGAAAGCTAAGCAGATCCTGCGTGTGAGCTTCCTTCGGCGGGTCACCACCCAATGACAAAAGAGATGACAGTCACGACATCGAATGCCGGCCTGGCATACACGGCATAAGAACCCAAGTAGAAGGGGTAAAAACAAAAACAGCATCATCTTCCCCCTCCCCCCACCCCCCTCCCTCCTCCGCCGCCCCATCACCAATCGGGCAGCGCTGTCCTTAGAAAAAGAAAGGACAAAGTGGAGCAAGAGTTTCAACACACAATGCCAAATGGATTAAGAACAGACTAGATTCAATTCACTAAACCATCGACCGGTGACAAATGCACCATCACCTCCCTTCTCTCAAATCAACCAATCCCCCCGCTGCTCCTGTCAGTTCCTCTTTCCTGGACTTGTCATCCGGAATCAATGGTTGTCGGCTCATCGCCATCCATTCCCTGCCGAAAAAGACAAGCAGAGCAGAGATCGGAGGAGGGGACACCCACATCACCCGCCATTCGCTGTCGAAGAAACCAAGCAGTGCAGAGATAGGAGAAGGACACCCACTACTTCCCGCCATTTGCTGCCGCAGAAAACAGAGCAGAGCTGGAGAACACCCACCACTCCCAGCCTATGTTACATACCTTGTGCGCATCCTCCAGATGCCACTACAGTTTCGCTGCGGTCGCTAACCTCCCCTTGTTGACTATTTCTTCAACGTGCCGGCGAGCCCATTGGTCAAAATGGATAATAGTATCGATGTCTGGGCGATGTACAAGATCCGCCATGTGCTCCGCGCATACCATCTCGTTCACCTTCATGATTTCCAGGTAAGAGATCCTGCACAAAAAAAAAAAAAAGGTCAAGAGATACGGCAAGGAGAGAGAGAGAGAGAGAGAGAGAGAGAGAGAGAGAGAGAGAGAGAGAGAGAGAGAGAGAGAGAGAGAGAGAGAGAGAGAGCCATCTCCGTTGGATTCGCGGAACGACTTGTCCAGATGATTGATGTCCTTCCTAGTGCAGCTGATGTCCCACGTGTAGACATCTCTACGTGACAATCTGAATATGAGTCGAAAGTTGAGACTCCAATCCTTTGCCATTTTCCTTTCTGTCTTCTTTTTGGCTATTCACTGACAAGAGAGTTTTTAAGGAGAGACTTAAACACTGCTATTGACATTGGCAACAAGGTGCGTTTGAAATTTGAATGTCATCTTTTTCTTTTTAATTTGGAATTCAATACATCAAAGGGAGTCTGAAGTCCACCCCATTCCACTGCACCTTCTTCTCCCTCCTCCCCCCCCCCCGCCCCCCCTCTCTCCTTCAAGTATCTTTTCACGTACCTGGCGCATATTAGGTTACAGATTAGGATTAGACTAGATCAGGATTAAATTGGATTAGAGTAGAGTTGACGTGATTAGATTTAGAGTACGATGTAATTAGATCAGATGTGATTAGATTTGATTTGATTTGATTAGATTAGATTAGATTAGATGTGAATCATGTGATTAGATTAGATGTGAATCATGTGATTAGATTAGATTAGATTAGATTAGATTAACCCAGCTCGTATGGCTGAGTGGTACACCCATGAACTGTTGTTGATAAACAGACAGAAGTTTAAATCCGGATGGAATCAGATAACTCTGAAGTTCTGAACCTTATCTTGATCAATTAGATTATGTTTCTATGATGGCACAGCCAAAACCATGTGGTATTGCAACAAAGTGGTATAGTACGCACACTTATGAGCACTGGAAACAGAATTAGATTACATCAGATTAGAATCATTAGATCATTAGATCAGATGAAGACTAGATTCGATGCCGTAAACATTAGATAAGAATTATTTTAGATCAGTGCTGGTCCCCGGATGGACCGGGGGCCCCTCACCCTACCGGGAGCCTGCCGGTCGGACCGGACGGTCCACTGGCCCAGCAGGCCCCCGTTCCAACCCAGCGCATCGCGCTTGGAGGGGGGTGTGGGAGGGGTACGGGGGAGTCACGGGCATCCCCGCAATTGCCCAGATCCCGGGAGGCCGCTGCCTCCCCCCCAGCCTTGTTTTAGATTGAATAAGGTTAGATTCATAGTTGAGGCGCACCAGGGCGGAGCGCCACACACCGCGCTTGGATCGGTGATGTGCGCGCACCGTGCTCATCAGGCGCATGCACTCAAGCCGCAGTGCACGGCGCTACTCCCCTGGCGCGCGCGCAGTGCGCCACACACTGAGAAAAAAAAAAAGAAAAAAAGAAAAAAAGAAAAAGAAAAAGAAAAGAAAAGAATAGGGCGGCAGCCTTGAGATATCATCTTCAACGGGAGCAGCGGCATGTAAATCGAGCACACAACTGTCATGCTGAGCAGGAAACCTCCGCATGAATGTATCAGAGTAGAATAGTCACTTGTATACATTTGAAGAAGCAAGGACCCTTTACGGAGGTTCAGTGGAAGCCAGAGCAGCATGAACCCTCGATGACTGTATCTGGCCTAACGACACATCTGACAACGTAACGAGTGCTTTTTCGTTTTTTTTTTTTTTTAATTAATATCTTGTCGACATAGGGCCATAGAGCCCTCACTGTTCATGGGCAGCACACTTCTGTATCTGACGACAAACGTTGCTAGTACACATTACTCTACAGAAAGAGCCTTTCTGGAAGCTCACATGGAGCATGGCACAAATAGGCCTAGCTCAGTTGGTACACCGCCATACTTGCGGCGCACCGGCACTGTGCGCTGCGCGGTGTGCTGCGCAGTGCGCTGTGCCCGGACCCAGGGTGCGCGCCGCGCATCTGGGTGCACAGTGCGTGCTGCGCGCATGTGCGCAATGTATATTTCCATGTTCTAGCGGTAGATTCATTTGATTTTGTTCTCTCTCTCTCTCTCTCTCTCTCTCTCTCTCTCTCTCTCTCTCTCTCTCTCTC